ACATCAATAGATGAGGCCAAAGTGCTTACCCTGATCCAGAGAAGAGGCATGCCAGTCAAACCTGAGCCTCACTGGAGTTCCTGACATTTCAGTGAATTTGTGACCATCTTTAACTGGCACACTATGCATAATTATAACAAACATCTGAAACACTGCAACTACTCATTGGTGATTGCTGTCAATTTAACAAGCCTTTCAAGTCTACAAAAGCATGTTTCTCATTTGTACCTCTGAATTCACATATGAGAGTCCACTTCCATGGGAACAAAGACTTCAGGACTCAGAGATAAGAGAGCACACCATGAATGTAAATATTTAGGTATCACTGTCTTTAACCCAAGGAAAAGGTTTCCATAACAGGAGAGAGGCAGCACCAAATTGGCCAATACATTCAAAACAGAAATGGTGAGCAGAGCACATTCTTAGTATTCCCTCAAATGTATTGCCATAGGTAGCTTTTCACCACACTCATATATTGTTTCTCTATTGACAAAACAAATATACTCTGCCTAACCAGAATACGCAACTCCACATTACTAATGCTAATTACCCACCAAGTATCAATCCCCAGGACTCGTCAACCCCAAGGAAGCTAGCACAATTGTGCCTCTTCTATACACAATGGTTGCATAGAGGAATGAACACATCTAGAAACCCTGGGTCCTTCAGGGAGTTCAGCAGGAAACTCTGGATAACCTAAGGAAAGCCTTTCCCTGCATCTCCAACTGCTTTCACACCTGACAAAGGAAAGAACTACATGTCAAACTCTTTTCTAGTTCTACTACTCTAAGAATTTAGTATGAGTGCATGAAAAATGGCACTGGCATGGAAGAAAGCAGGAAAGAAATAACCTTAGCTTGGTTGTCATCTCCATCATGGGAGAGCCAGTTGTTATGCTGTTCTGGCATTTTGTTATAGTTACTATGGCAATCCCATATTAGCATTGATCTATCATTAATTCCCCTCCATGGAATGGATTCATAACCTCAGGGTACAGGAAAACACTGAATGATCTAGTAAAATCAATTCCGTCCTAGGAGTCCCATGTCATAAAATTCATGCCACTTCTCCTGAACTATCCTTGCCAGCTACTGAAGCAAAACTGGAAAAGAGAATTTTTATCTCTATATTTTAGAAACATACAAGATAACGTATTTAGGAGTAGTTTGTGAAAACTGTCATAATTTTGAAATTAATTTTTAAAAATTGTAGAATAATAAAATCATGGACTTATACAAATGATGAGGTTGTATAGCCAAATCTCCAAAAAATATAATCCTTTCAAATCACTACGAGTTCCAGATAAGACCATCCACATTGCTGCACAGTACTTCAACAACCTCTTTCACTAAGGTAGTCCACCACTCAGTAAATGGCAGTGACATCTGTTCTGTCTACCCTGGAGAGCTGCAGTAAAAATGCTCTTCTGAAAATTAAGACAATTAAATGTAACTGCTAAATACATATAAAGGTTTGAACCAATATAAAGAATTTCTACCAAAAAAAGGTCATCTTGAATTGATGCCCTATGGGTTCAGTTTTTTTAAAGAAATCAAACATACAAATGTTTTTCCAAAGGAATTTCAGAGATTAGAGAAAGGTAATGCTAGAGCACAGGAAAACTCCAACTTTGTAGTCCTCGAAACTTTACAAATCATTCTGTATTACTGTTTACTGCAATGATGTAGAAATAACATTACCAACTTTCAACCCAGTGAATTATCAAAAGAGAGAGAGAAAAGAAGAGGAGAGAGTGAAGACAGAGGGAGGAAAAAGGGGGAAGGGCCAGAGACAGAGAGACAGACAGACAGATAGACAGAGAAAGTGAGACTGACTGAAATTCTAATTCCCAGAGGGTAATAACAGGGTCATTTCAAAATCTTCTAAAAAAATAAATTCCTAAAGTAGGAGAGCTCATATACTCTGCCATCTACCAGGAACAGGAAAAGTCATATATACTTTCCGTGCCAAAGTCTAAGGCAGTGTATTTATTTAGTTGTTGTTGCCTCTGGGTTGGTGGTGTTTTACATCTGAGGCAGACAGGGAGACCTAGATTTCAGGGTGAATAGTGTTAAGCAGTAGGACCTTAAAGACTACAAGAAAATTGCATTACCTTGTTTTCCTCATCAGTATAAAAGGTGATGGGCCAAAAATAGTAAAAACATACGAAAAGAATTTGACAAAAAAGATAGACAGTTAACACTATAAAATCTGCAAGCAAACAATCTGTAAGGGCATAGCAGCTAAAGAAACACAAATCTTTACAAAATCAATGAGAAGTAGAACAATAGAAATAAAATTAAAATGACCTACAACATAAAGAGCTACTAAGTGGGAAAGACCACAACCCACTTTAAAGTTTGCAAAAATCCTTTAGCAAACAGGTATTAGCAAAATATCTTATAAAAGAAAATTATAACATATGGGTACCACATAAATATAAGTTGATGTGGAAAACATCTGGGTACTTTCTTACTTTCACAGTCAGAACTTAAAAATGAGAAAGCAAACCCCAGAGATTAAAGACACAACTCCGAGGAGAGAGGTGTAATTGGTAATCTCAAGGTAGCAGTGGTTAAACAACTCCTGGGCTGTAAAGCTCAAAGAATGGGTCAAGGAGGACAGATATAATTTAAATCGGCAGCCTGAAGCTGCATGTTGGATACAGACAACAGCCACAGTTCAGAAAACTTACTGGCCACAAAATCACAGAGAAGCTCAACTCCCCTCTCTAACATTCTATTTATTTAGGGAAAAATAAAACACGCAGGAGACTGTTATGAAAACCCAGTGATACAATAATGGGAAACCGTAGGGCTCAGCATGTACAGTACTACATGTTCAAAAAAGGACCACAAAGGAGCAAGGGCAATAACAATAGTAGAAATTTGATAGTACGGAATAAAAGGTTTATGAAAATACTTTTGATCTAGGCCACACCAAAAACAGATCTTTTAGGGAAAGTGATACAGATAAGATTTCAGCAAGTAACAAAAGCACAGGAGGTGGTATGCCGACAAGGTAAAAGATTTATGAGCTGCAGAGTATCCAAAGAGTTAGAGTTTACTCTAGTGTGTTTAGAAAATCTGATGTCGGTGAAGCGCACAGAGTCTAGGCTAGGGGAGCCATCCAAGGGGCCAACTCATTGGAAGACATGGCGTCCAGAGTGAAAAAGTCTAAAGGGCATCAATCACTGTATGGCACTTTTCTCCATACCTCATACATGCACTACATTAGCCTACTGACTGTAGCCCTCTGTGTATGCCTGCTACACCTTAACTCTCTGGTACATAATCCGGTCATACCTCCTAGGTCATTCCCTGCACCACAGCCTCTTACTCTTTAACTGAGCTTGTCTTTATTCCCTGCCCAGTAGAAGGAAGTCGATTTGATGTCTCCCCCAAATTAAGAGACAAAATAGTAATGGCCCTAGTAATCAGACCAGAAGAAATGAATGTTAAGAAAACAACTGAGGAAGCCAACAAATGGTAGCTCCTATCCCTATGACAGGGATTCTCTTCCAGAATCCCACAATCTCTAAAGAATAAAGAAGCCAAAGAAAACCAGTTCCACTAAATCCTTGATTAGTTGCAAAAGGTACAGTCTACTTTGAGGGCAATAAAACTACTAGCACTGCCTTGGAGATCAGCAGAGCACTAAGGGCTTCCTTTACTGTTTTTCCACAGCAGCTCTCTGATAGTCTCGCTGTTGCCTTTTCTGGGAAAAATGACACCCAAAGATCCATAGCCACAGCTTCAGGCGTGCTGATACAGAACCCTCCCTACCAGCCTCCCTAAGCACCGGATCACCTTATACAAGCCAGACATCTGGACATCTAGACCAAGCATCTGACACAAGTCCCAAAACACTGTCATACAATCAAAGTGCTTACTAGGGGCAGGTGAGGATCAGGAAGACAAAAAGGAAGACTAAAAGATATCATAGCAAACAAACCCATCTCACACAGTACTAGTACACAAACATGCTAATGTCATCCAAAAAGCAATGACAAAAATCAAGAAGATGCTAAAGTAAGTTTTAAAAAGAGGGACTGAATCTCTTCATCACCCCTATTTTTCCACTCCCAGAAGTTTAACATTCTTCTGTGTGTTAGTTTTAAGTTATGACTTCATGAATTTGAATGAGCTGCTGACACTGATTGGGAAAAATATAGAGCCTCTTCAATGAAAAAGTATGGCATCATTTGTACTGCCCGTGTGGTATAATATAGAAGTACGTAGTATGTATAGCCACACACATGTGTGAATGCTCAGTTCATGTGCACCTTCAAATTCTACTTGATGAGGGCCAGGGATTTAGCTCAGTGGTTCCGTCACCTGCCTCACAAGCACAAGGTTCAGAGTTCGATCCCCGGTACAAAAAAAAAGAAGGTGTCATTTCCAAATCCAAATTCCACTTGATGTAAACTGAATGTGCAGGGAAAAAAACCCTGAAAAGAAGGCTCACTTAGAATGATCTATGAACTTCAACAAATATGGATCTCACAGAGATCTTTGGACTACTTTATCCTACAACAGCCTAGGGAAGCAAAAATAGCCAGAGAAGGTAAAACAAATTCCAGGGAACTTATTAGGCTGACTCTATACGGTTGCACCTTGGACTATTCCTTGTCCGCATTCTGGAACACCTGTCTAGTAGCAAGTGGGAGGAATCATCGAATGGTAGACAGATCATCTCAAGAGAATGGTGAATGAAGCAGGATAAGGCAGAAAGGCACTGAGTGAAAAGTTCATATTTCCAGCTTAGGCTCTAGCCCTATTTATAACTGTATAACCACATTCACATAATCTGTGAGATCTTAACCATTGTATTTCTAAAAGAAGGGTTGATCTAGAATGACTACTTGAGGTTCATTAACCTTTGCTGCTCTATAGATTCATGAGCTTCCATTTCCCAACACAAAGTTTCACTGACCAATCACCTCTACTGTACTGAATTTTCCTGCTCTAGATGCCCAGCCCTGAAATATCAGCACTTACCCTCAGCTCCAGGGTGCTTATATGGGTTGTACTTGGGCTTTGGAGCAACTACTGGTGCAAACTTCTTGGGTGGCTGTTGTGTAGACACCGAAATACTGGGAGTCCCAAAAGAATGGGTGGTCTCCATCCTCGCAGGAACATGGCCAAGGGGCTCACCAGTGCTTTTGGGTGGCAGCCAAGTTGGATAAGACATTGTTGAAAGCTGTAATTAAAAAGTAATACATGATGTTTTTATAGAAGCTTGAAAATGAAGGTGACATTTCACTTCATGTTATTTCTTTTTAATCCATACTTTCTGAATCTTTATAAAGATTCACTATATGATCTGCAAAGGAGAAGAAGGAAGAAATAAGAATAAAACAATGTAGAAGAAGGAAGAAAGAAGAGGAAGGAGGATAATCAGAACAAGGAGGAGAAGGAAGTAAAAGATGAACAGACAGTCGAGAAAGAGGAGGAAGAAAGAGAGGTGGAGGAAAGCATTTCCACATATCTGAATACCTCACTCCAATAATTACTGATTTAGCACTAGGCCCTCCTGGAGAAGGAGCTATGAGTGAGAAATAGTTCCTAACTTGAAAAAGTTTCTGTGTAGGAAGTTGGGGGAAAAGATTCAATTTTATCAATAATCTACAAAACCGTATCATTTACATGGTGACACCTAAATGAGGTGATAAATTACCTATGTGAGATTTAAAACAAGTGTTGCTGGGATGAAGGAAAAGATAAAACAACTTCGTTCTGGCAGCAGGACCAAAAGGATTTCACTGATGCACGTTGCTCAGACAGGGTCTGGAGCGCTGAATAAAAAATGAACTTGAACAAAGTAAAGTCACAGGGGCAGAAAAATGCACTTCTGTTTAGTGTGGCTTTGGGGGAATAAAAGAAAGTAGCTAGCCAAAGAAGTAAAATGTGTGGAAGCAAAGCGAGGCACCTTTGCATGTGTACTGGAGGAGTTTAAATGTGCGTTCGAAGACAGAACGGGACACACTAAAGGAGACACTTTCAAATGATCTTTTGCAAAAGGAAAGAGACCAAGATGAAGAGAGAGGGAAGAAGGAGGGGAGAAGGGGATGAAAAAAGAATGGAGATGTGTTAAATACCTGTATCAACTTCCTACCATGGATGTAATCATTACGTACTGCAAAGATGTACTAGTAAGAATAAAATAAAATAATAAAATAAAATAAGCTCTGTGAGAGCAGCTCGCTCTCTACCAGGAGGCAACTGGAAATGAGGAGGAGGGGACACTGGTTGCCACAATGCCTGGAACAAGCAACACCTATAATGCACACACAGGTCAGCCCTGGACCATGAAAGAAAAGACAAATGCCATCAAGTGCTCTCTTGAGCTGACAGCATACTGGAGGGGTTTTCGTTCTGTTTTGTTTTTACTTTTAACGCATGGGGAACAACAAGGCCAATGTGGATGCTGTTCTGATCAGAGCATACGCATCATGTGAAGATAGGAATATGATGTCTCCTTCTAAGACGAGCCAATCACTCCTGCAGGCAGCCTTCCTGCCAGGGGTGAGCCTCACAGCCTGCTGCTGAGGACAGCTCTCCAAGCCTGATTGCAAGAGCACTCCAGCACAGGGAGGCCCGGAAGGTGCCCTGCTCCACTCCCAGCCCCAAATCCAACTAGTAATTTATTAATTGAACTGAATTAATTAAGAGGGCTACATGATTACCTCCAGATGTCTGTAAAGACAAAGAACACAGGAAATGCGGGGGAAATTAAGGCCTTGGCACTTGGCATAGCAATAGAGAGAGGCAGGGGAATGAGATGGGCTGGGACACAGGGTCACCCACGAATTAACACTGGTCCACACTATGACCTGGAACACTCCAGTGCCTCAGTCACCCCTCACCCCCTCAAAATTAAGACATAGAAAAGCTTGTCCTCCTCAACTTCCAGGGCTTTTATGACAATCACTGAGACAATAGTAAAGTGCTTTATATACTGCAAAGTGCTACGTAAACTGAGTGGAAAGGAATGCTTCCATTCTCCCATGAAATCACTGAGAACTGTCTGACTATCTTACAAGGAGGAAAACCAAAGGAGCTGTAGATTTCTTGATATAAAGGGATGACATGAAATTGGGAATCAGGGCACAGTCATGGAAGCAAGTGATGAAAATAATTTTTCTTTCGATTATGTGGCCCTTCTTTTCCTTTTCTTCCACTTTTATATGTATATGTATATATTTACTTTCAAAACTGAGATAGCTAGAAAAAGACAAGGACCACACTTTACACATTCCTAAACTACCACTAAGGTATGGCACAAAATCAATGTGGAAAAACAACCAATACATGACTCTTACTCATAGTTAATAAATCTAGTTGTACATTTGGAATCATTGAGAAAAAAAATTAAGTACCAAAACCAAGCTCAAATCTCTCAAGGTGGAGATTTATCAATTTTGTTTTGGTTTTTAGTTGAGTCTAAGTCTTCTACTAAATGGGAATAAAAGTATTTTTTTTCTTTCAACATGACTAATGTGAATACAAATAGGGAATAAATGGCGTTTAAAAAGGTTACGTTTTAGTGCTTTCTACATTTTTGTAGTAGGCATATTCATTGTACATTTTTCTTAAATGAGTTAGACTATCCTTGAAACTTTTTTGGAAATTGAAGGTTATTCTAAAACAGACATTTTAAAAAGTGAGTTAGTACAAAGTGCAGTGGTTTCAAAAAGAAGGATGTATACTTCCAGAGCAGTTCCAAGTTACTGACCATGGCATGTTGGCTTTTACATAGATACAAAGAAACAGGCAACTTCTGCAAGACTGCTTAAAAAATTAAAACTTAATCATCAAATGCAAACCATTGACTCATCATCTGTTCAGTTTTCCACAGCACATGAGAGGTCTTCCTCTCATGGAAGCACAGCAACGACTCCTGCAAGGGCCACATCTGTTTGCAGGTGACCTTTCTAAGCACGTTCTCTTGTCATTCTTCCACATGTCAACGGTAACCCAGGGACAACATTCCCAGGATTTATAATAAACTATCATGAATCTGAACCCCTGCTCATGCTGTGCCCACTTTTGGCACGACATTTTCTTCTCTTCACTTTCTTCCAAGTGTTCTATATTTATATTGTCCCACCCCAAATGTCTCCAATTCTATGACTGCTTCCATAATGCCCCTTATGGTAAGTAGCTTAATTCTTCTTCTAGGATGTTTTAGTATTTGTTTTCCATACTTATAATACTCTGCAAGGAAGCAGCTTATTCACTTGTATATCTGCCCCAACAAGCTGGAACCTCTGGAATAGTTCACTGCACTGGTATAATGCCTGGCCAAGACTCTTAGAAAAAACTTTTATTCAAGAGGGGTGAATGAATAAATGAATCCATTAATATCTCTCTCATCACTGTCTCTTACTCATACCTGTCCAGAATCTCTATCCCCATTCTTAGCTTCTACCAATACAATAATTTGTTTTTCACCTCTCTTAATTTGGTGATGTCATGAATCATGCTGACAGATTTCTAGATATTGAGCCATCTTTGCATTCCTAGAATAAATCACAATTGTATTCTGTTGATATACTAATGAATTAATCAAGTGTTGTTTTCAGAATTTTTGTACCTATAATCATAAATAGGATCATTTTGTACATTTTTATTTGTGGTTATTTTACTTATTATTACTGGGTTTTACTATGATGGTTCTGCATTCTACTCTACTTCATAGTTTAATAATGACCTTAGAATTATCTGATCTTTAAAGGTTTAGCAGATTTCATACAAAGTCACCTCGAATTGATAATCCTTTTTAATAATAGATACCCTATAAGTTCTACAACAATGGTAACAGTATTATATTCCTGCTAAGGTGTTTTTTTAGCACTTATATATGGTCGGAAAGTCATGCAATTCCTCTAGGTTTTATCTCTGCTTCCTTTCAACCGAACTCTCTTTCAATCAAAAATGATTTGTTGTTCATTTAGATCCCGAGAATTACTTCCAGTTAGTCCTTAAATACCTAAGCTATGTATTCCATCCTTTAGGGCGGTGCCTTCTGTCCTACACATCGGCACCTGGTACCCTCCTATCATATGCTCAACATGTGTGATTCTGCCTGGCTGCATACTCATTCCCCAGAATAAAATCTGAAGTCCTAGAGAGCAGAAGTACTTATCACTTTATAATCCTGGGGCCTATGTAGTGATAGACACTAAATAAATTTAATAAATAAATGACTTTATATTCCTATCACTGGAGCTCCAGATGAATCAGATTCTTATTCTTTACTCAAGGAGCTTAGCATCTATCTAAGGGAAGTATACCGATATATGTGTAATAAGAGAGTAACACAAAAACCATATGGGAAAATGCCAGACTGACTCAAAAGAGCTAGCACAGGCTTGGCAGGGGAGGCTCTTACACAGGACTCTGAAAGGTAGCAACAAGGACAATGTCTGGAAATAATAGTCTGGGAACAAAAGCAAGGAAGGTCTGCAGCACAGAGAGCTGACCTACCAGGCCAAGGTGAAGGACTCAAGGAGAAGAATGGTAGGAAAATATCTTTTAAAAGATCTGACATAGAGAGATAAGAAACAAGAACTTTCATCTTTGGACAAAAATCTAAAAAGAGTGAAAACTCAGTGTAAGAAAAATTAGTTCCCATAGGATGGACCCACAGAAGGTATCTGATAAATTCAATCATATAGACATGGAGGCCTTCTGGCCCTAGACCTCTTCTCAGCTATTCCAGAGTGACTTTTAGCAAACTGATCTGTAAAGTTTCAATAAGCTAAAATATAAGACAGTGTTTCTCTCCACTAAATTCGCAGTGCAGGTCTTCCTTCTGAGAAATGAGTTTGCAGAAACCACACAAGTAGAGTGAGTGAATGGATGGATGACCTAGTGTGTCATGGGGCTTCTTACCTCTGTAGAGAGGGACCCAGTAGAAGCACAACAATAGGCAATGGTGAGTCCTGGTTTTGCTGGACCAAAACTTATTGTGTTCTTACTGCCTTTGGTTCTAGGTAGGTTTCACTCTAGGTTAATAATCATCACGAAAGCAAGAAGTGAAAGGGAAGATACCAAAAGAGGTTCTGAAAAAATACAACACCTCCAGAAAAGGGGAAAACAAGATGGACCTTTCCTAAGTACAATGCCTACAGTGAAAGCAGGCTGAGAGCTGCTGTACCCTGAGCATTGCTCCCTCAGAAACTGTGTCCCGTGCAA